GAGAGAAAGAGAGAGATAGGGGAGAGGAAATGTAAGAGACAGAGATCTTTAGATTCATTATTTCCGAGTTACCCAAAGAAGGGAGTATAAACAGACCGTATGTAGAATTTTTCTTGGTTTTTTATATTAATTAAAAATATGTACATAGTTCATGCTTACGCTTCATACATCCAAGATTACCATACTAAACTCTAAATTCTCATAAAATAAACTTCGATAAACTAAGAAACTTCAAGAAACTAATGTATGCAAATCTCTTGCAAATCAAGTACAAATATATATAAAATACTTGAAGTAAATATTTAAATTTAATTTAACTTCAAATTCAAGCACTTCGATGCCTTCCAATCCCATTTAAAGACAGATCCTGATCCCTAGTCACGCCCTTTAATTGAATGCTACAAAGTTCGCATCAAGTTAATTAAAACCAAAACGAAATGCCGCAGTTCATAATTACGAGCGTGGAGCTAGGGCGCCTGTCCCATACCCAGCCGTTGCACCCCCCCGCGCCGTTGCGCCGTTACTTTAACCAAATTTGGCTTAGATTCGGGCCCACTCCATTTCCGGTGGGCATCGATGGCGATGGCTCCAGTTGGAGATATTTGCCATTTCAATTGCAACTGCGTTTCGCTCGAGCATCGTGTTGCCAATGTGCCATCAACTACTCTGATTAGTCGTCCTGCCTGGGAGAGGCATCATTTCATAGCCGATTGGACAACGGGCCCAGCCGGGCCGGATTTGTTGTTGTTGTTGTTGTTGTTGTTGCTATGCTGTGTGGTGGAATCTGTGCGTCTGCTGTTTTTAGAAAATAAAATTGCATTTTCATGAACCTTTGGCCAGGAATTTATCTGGCGCACAGATTTTCCCAACCGGGCACTGAGGCAGAAGCAGAGGCAGAGACAGAGGCACAGGCAGAGGCAGACGTAGGCCTACCCCAAATAGGCACGCACGATGCATAAAGCGCATAAATAGCTGCACAGGCTGAACACAACTCGACCTCATCCTGTTGCCTGTTGCCTGGTGGCATCAGCAATTGTCCCAGCTATGGCCAGGACATGCGTGCATATTTACGAGTCGGCTGTGGTGGCATCAGCTGCACCAAAAACTCGATTGCCTCCGCCTGGAACCCGAGTGCGCTCCTCCTGTGCGCTGGTGCACAACACTGTGGTTGTCCAGGCTAACTGTGTGTGTGTGGGTGGTTGGGTGGTTAGCGGCTGGCGTCACAAAATAATTACCAGAGCTGTGCCTCGCTCGCTCACTCGGCCCGGTGATTGAGTTGGCAAAGCGTTGCACTCGATTTGATTTTTTTTTTTTCAGGAATGGGCTAAATGGAGCCTTGCTCTCTGTCTCCCTCTCTCTCTCTCTCTCTCTGTCTCTGTCCCTCTCGCTCTGCCCACGGCTGGAATTTATGCGTGTGCCATTGGGCCCAAAGTTTGTCGGTTTTTAAGCTAATTTGGCGAGCATCCTGCCTGGCCGACTGGCTGGCCGGCCGGCTGGCTGGTTGGACGAGCAGCATTTGAGTGAGTGAGCAAGATTTAGTGGCACATATAAATGCCAAAACCGAAATGCTCCAACAGCAAATCACGGCCCGACTGACACGCCCACCTCGATTGCGAACGCTTGCAGATTTTTGGCACAGCCGTGCAGACAGATGGGTCTAATTTGAGGTGGCTAGAGGGGGGAGGGGGATGGCTGGTGGAATGGGCAAGTGCGCAGTGGGGAGACAGCTGCACTGAGAGCGATTGGGACTGGTCAGTGCCGAGTGCCGAGTGCAGCAGGGCACCTCATGATTTGCCCATAAATGCAACAGCAACAACAACAACAGCAGGAGCCAGAGGAGGTGGGTACTTGGGTATATGTGACCATGACATGTTTGTGCACCAGACAAGCTAAACGAAAATTTGAATAAAGCTGCAAATGAGCGGCTCTAATTGTGGTACACTGAAATGATACAGAAAGGACTTTAGCTGTAGCTGGACTTAGCGGACCTAAGGTAAATGTGGAGATGAATGGGAATAGATAGAGGTATAAATGGGAAGATATGTAGATATAGTTTAAAGTTGATTAGATGATTATATTTACCAAAGACAAATGTGGTTAAATAAGTACATAAGCATGTAAAAGCGAATATGGGTAAAGTTCAAATTTGGTTGAAAAATATCATTTAGTAAAGATCCATGATAGCTGAAAACTTTTACTATACATACCAATATATGTTATATAATAATATTGTATATTTTGTATATATATATTATTATATTATGCATGCATTTGTAAGAATGGAAGTATAGGTAAAGCTTAAGAGACGCCAGAGTTTTCTGTTGCTTAGCTCTAGCATCTGCTGATAGTACTGCCTATATATACCCAAATGGTCTCGAACTGTCGTCTATATTATTCTTAAAGCTGCGAAGTAACTCGATCGTTCTCATTATTGCTTATTTCCCTCGGAGCGACAGAGGAGTTTTATAAATCTCTTGGAGTTTTACATATCACGAAATTATTCAGTCTATCTGTTCAGCTGAACATACAATCTTTATATACATAATATAATAATACTAGTGAAAAAGTTAACCCTTTTTACTTTACCTACTTATACATTTTCATATTATTTAAATTAATAGAGCGTTCGCTTCAGTTTATCATGCAAATAGGAACAAACATACATACATGCATACATACATACATACACATAAGTATGTTGTATATCAATGTCTCAGAAAAACTTCCACCTAGAACTTTTAGGCCAATATTAAGGTAGTATTCCACACATTAAGCTAGTTGAGTTCAGAGCCATTAAATTACCTTTCGTCTTCCACTCTCCTCCACGGATCACTGCTGTAACTTTACTCTGGCATCCAACATCAGGCAATTACTAATGTGAATTATATTTTGAGTTTCTTCTTCTTCTGCAATTTTCATTTATGGTGCAGGCAGCGCATCATTGTTGTCATTGCCATTAGCCAATCGGCTTACCAATTGGCCAACTGGGGACGCAGCAAGTGGGCCTGCCCGACTGCCAGCTGCAGCTGTTGCAGTTGTTGCTGTTGTTGATGTTGTTGTTGTTGTGGCTGTTGCTGTTGCTGCATGTGTCACGCGTTATCGTTGCACCAGCGCTTCACACTGAAGAGACAGCCCGCTCGGCCCCCGCTCGGCCTCCCCGCCTGGCCATTGTCTTGGGCAACTCTTATGGCTTATGGCCGGAGGCATCTCAGTGTTTCGCGTCGTCGTCGTCATTGTCGTCGACTCCAATAAATCAGTTTGATTTATTCACCTTCGCTGATTCTTTTTTTTTTCTGCTTTTCGATTGTTGTCGTCGCTGTCGTCTGTTGCTGTTGCTGTGGCTGCCCCATTGCATTTGTTGTTGGCTCTTCACGCGCGTGCTTGCATCGCGCTGGGCTCTGCTCTATGCATCGATCGGCAACGGGCATTGCCGAACTCTCGATCTCAGTCTCCCACAGCCAGGCTGATCGCGTTTCGCTTAAAGATCACCTGAGCCGCGACTGTCTCTCATTGGAGTGTCTAATTCAATTTAGCATGCGACTACAACAACAACAACAACAATATCATATGGCAAATATCCAATTCGTGACATTTGATTTCATATTAAGATTAGTTGTATTCGCTAAAAAAAATCAAAAATAAAACGAACGATTGCCTCGAGCCATGACACCGGGCGCACCGGCTTGCAGATCTGGAGACAATTTGTTTTGGACCTACACGAATTTGACTGAAGATTGTAGAAGCTTTTAGCAGAGGAATGTCTTAAAAAAATATATATATATACATAAAAATAATAATAATAGTAGTAAGAATTTAAATATCTTAAATTAATTTTAATAAATTTATATAAGTTCTATTCATTAAAATTAGAAAATTCAAAATTGAAAATCAATTTATGGGATGAGTTATATATCGGGCATTAATAGGAATACTTTGGGTAAATCTTGGACCAAATTTAACTGCAGTATAGTGCAGAAAATTTAAATGCAAAATATTGAATATTGATCTACTTATGTATATAAGTAGTATAGTATATTAACGAATCTAAAGATAAAATGTTAAAAAAAAAAAAATACACTTGTCAAAATTAAATTAATCTAAAGGTAAAATATTTTTTGTTTTTTAATTTCCTTTGTTAAATTAAGGTATGAATAATAAACCCCAATTTCCAATCGAGTCTTGCAAATCTTTGCCTGTGACCCTTTACTTCCTTTTCCTCTTCCTTCGCCCTGTCTCTATATGAACTATATTCAAGCTGAAACTTAAAATCAGAATTCATGACAATCTGCTGAACAATGGGCTCTGTCATAATAAAGACGACGACATTAATTTATTTCATATGCAAAAAGTCTTTGGTGTAGGAAGAGCAAGCAGCACTTGTAACGCTTCGCGCCAGACATTTGGATGACATGAAATTTATATATTAATTTATTACAGTTTTCAACTGACAGAGAATTAAGCGACAGACAATTTATAGCTTTGTTTTCATCGCATTAAGTCGAGAGCGAAAAGAAGAAGAAATCAATTATGTAAATGTGAAACGATGTTCTTTTGTGGATTTTAGGTTCATCAATCGCATCGGCTGAGCACGCGACAAATTGCGTAGATTCTTGGGGCCAGAAGTGGGCGTATTGTATAGAAATGGTTTACTTCATCCATAACGAAATAATCGATAGAATTATCGAATGAGCAGAAATCATTGTTGCTTGATAGTTGATGGAGTAAATCGCATTGATAGTTCGAATAATTGCTAATATTGTCGTTAGAAAAATTCTCAGTATTATAATGGAAATTGAAAGAATGGATAATTTTCGGCAACTTTCTCATTAGGAAAATGATCGAGATTATTGATAAAATAATTGAAAGAGTAAGAGTGGATAGTAGAGAGAATGCACAAATTTCGATAATCTCCTCATTATATATTATTACTGATCTTATCGATCAGGCAATTTAAAAAGAGAATAATTGAGAGAATCAAGAATTTTAAATTTATAAAAGAATCGAGCATATGAATATTGTATTTAAAATAGTATCATTTACGATCTATACAGCTTATACAGATTTTTTCTAATATTATCATTTCATCTTCTCTAATTTATCGTTATCGAAATGTTTTCCATCTCTAGAAATGCATTCAAACGGAATTAGTTGCAGCTATTTGCATGTTCTGGGCCAATGGCTTAATTACAACGACCCACATTCGGAAAGGCAGCCATCCGCTCGTCACTCATCCGCTGGCAACAAGAGACAGAGACAGAGACAGCAACAGCGACAGCGACAGAGACAGCAACAGAGACGAGAGCGACAGCTAGCGACAGCAACATTTTGTCGCGACAACATTTCGGCAGCGACGGCAACTGTCGCCAACTGTTTGGTGTCTCCGTGTCGCCAGCTCTGGCTGTGACATCTCTCGCCGCTTGATTTGGATACACACTCGGTGCTGTGAGAGAGACAGAGACGGATAGAGAGAGAGAGAGGGAGAGAGTGAGAGAGATGGAGAGGCAGGGGGTCACTCACACATTGGCATCATCATTAGCAAAGAGCTGCGGCGACGCGACGTTGATGCTGGCTGTTGGCAGCCTTGTCGCAGCCTCCGCTGTCAAAAATTGATTTACCGTTTTAATTTTAAGTTAAAAACCTGTCAAAAATAAATCATTCAATCGCTCGCAGCCTCTTTTTTGCAGCAGTAGCAGCCAGTGCCCCGCCTTCACGCCCCAAACGCCTCCCCCTGCCCAGCCGTTTCGACTTCATTTCGCATACTTACGCATTTCGTAGCGCCAGCAAATGACCCAGTTGCCTCTTTCACTCAGCCCAGCTCTAGCTCCAGCTCCAGATCCAGCCCCTGCCATCTCTCTGACTCTGAGTGACATACCAGTAGTTCACATCTCCCTTATTCGCTTCGCTTCCATTCATTAAAGTCTGGCGGAGTTTCAGTGTCTGCGACCTAGCCAAAGGTCTTTGCATTCATTCAAGAATCGTCGCTCTAATTGAAGCTCTAGACGGATCTGACACTTTTTAATTGAACAACTAATTCTAGTTTTGTTTCTTTTTATACCCTGAACCCATTTTCAATGGGAAATCAGGGTATAATGGTTTTGTTGAAATGTATGTAACAGGGAGAAGGAGGCGTGGCAGACCCCACAAAGTATATATATTCTTGATCAGGGTGACGAGCTGAGTTGATTTGGCCCTGTCCGTCTGTCTGTCCGTCTGTCCGTCTGTCCGTCTGTCCGTATGTATGAACGCGTCGATTTCAGAAGATATAAGAGCTAGAGACTTCAAATTTTTTTAAAATGTCCGTAATTACAGCGCGCATATCAAGTTTATCATTAAAAATCGATAACTCGTCTCGATCTTTTTTTATCGATAAAAAGCCTTATCGAAACCCAGTTATAAAATTATATCTTCTACACCTTTATTGCTAGAGTCTCCAAATTTTTAATGTATGCTTATATGCAATTTATACAATTTCGGTTTTTTGTTAAAATTTACCCCCCACCTCTAAATTCACCCCCTCACCCTCACTTTTGTAAAAAGCGTATTTCAAATACTAGAGACTTGTGCTTTGGCAATTACATGCATATTCATGTTATAATCATAATCTAAAAGTTTCATGAAGATCGTACGTCCATAAAAAAAGTTATTAAACAATTAAGTTCTCATAGTAAGCGCACACTGCAGCCCATGCGTGTTTATGCGTGGTTGCTTGTATGTGTATGCGTGTGTGTGTATGTATACCTGTGTGTGCGTACGTGCGTGTGTGTGTGTGTGTGTGCGTGTTTTTTGTGTAAGCTGAAAGTCGCGAAAAAGTATTGAAATATCTATTGCTCCAAGGGTTCAGGGGATCTCGTAGTCGAGCAGTCTCGACTAGAGCTTTCTTACTTGTTTTTTTTATAAATAAAATTAAAGACATTTGGGTTTGTCGACGAATGTGTACGATAAATTTGAGTTTGTTTTTAATTTCTCAAATTTAAGAGCAAGATCTAAGTATTAATTTTATTTTCTGAAATATAGGTAACTGCAATGTTATCTTTATGTTACCTTTAGTTAAAAAAATCAGGAGAAGAGTTATTCAATAACAGTAAGAATAATAAAAAATAATTATGATTGTAATAAATAGTGTGACATATAAATAACTTGAAATTAAATATAAGCTTTAAAAATTAAAGAAACATTTTTTCTATATTTAAACAGAAATTTAAAAATGAATTTTATTTGCATGTATGCAATGGAAAGTACTTGGAATAAAATAAAAAATAAATAAATAAAATTAAAATGATATTAATAATAATAATACAGTAGAATCCCCATAATTCGAAATGGCAAGGGGATCAGTAATTTTTTTTTAGATTTACACAGAAATTCAAAATTTTTAGAGCGATATTCTCTCAAGGGGATAGAATTTTTTTTTTCGATTTAGCAGGGTACGAATTATCGAGGCTCGACTGTATATATCATATTCAATGACAATGATATCATATAAATGACAATTGAAGTAAGATCATTATAGAAGAAATATGCTAATAGAGCTTTAGATAAATATAAAACTATAAATATGACAAATTCCCTTCCAGCAGATATGCTAATTTGCCAGATTCAAATTTAGACGAAATAAAATATATACATATTCATAAATTCTCAAAAAATCGATATAAATCTTTAAGGCATTGGCTAATGTAGATTCTTCATTCAGTTATAACAATATGCAAACCTAAGCTGATACACATCTAATGCTAATCAATATAGTATATCATTTTTAGGTTTTTATACCTATTGACGTCATAAACTAACTGACAATCTCGAGTGTGTTGACAAGGCCTTTTTTATTCCTTAATCAAACTATAAAAATAATATGTATATAATGACTGTGAGTTAAGCTTTTAATTCAAGGCTAGTGCAATTGCTGTAACCGGATATTCAATATCAATATCAATATCACTTGAGTCTCTCAAACCACAGGCAGACAGACATCGAAGCTCACAGTCATGTCCATCAATATGCACACACATAGATATACGTATATATATTTATATATGTACATGCATATAGATAAGTCGGGACTGGGCAGTAGCGAATGTTCACACGCGCCCAGCTCGGACGATAATTGATGCATTATAATCGCAGCACGATGTGATTGATTATGACAGGTGTGCACAGTCATGTGAAAACGCAGCGAATTCCAATGCCGCCAAAATGATTTGCTTGATTGACAAGCAGGTCAAGTCCAGGCAGCACACATTCAGATCATTCGATCACGCCAGCTGCATTCACTCGAGGGCAGCTGCATTGTCTCTCCACTCTCCACTCTCCACTCTACACTCTCCAGTCTTTGCTGGCGACAAATTTACGCATGGCCCGACAGGTTCATTAATTGATGTGCACACTGTCGCCGCACGAGCTGGCCAAACGGGACGGGACGGCTCGAAGTTGGAGTTGGCTCTTGGCAGCTGCGCAGGCGCCAATGCCGGCTGCCGTTGCGTGCGGTGGCCGCTTTCTGTGGATATTTCTTAATCGATATCGAAATGATTTACGTTTGCTGCCTAATGAGTTCGCATACACAAACATAGCCGGCCAGCTGGGAGAGCTGGGCCAGCCGGACGGCCAATTTTCCTTTCACGCAACACTGCGGCGGCTTTCAATTTTATTTTATTTTATTTCATTTTTTTTTTTTTTTTTTTTTTTGTGAACATCAAGACGGCGGCTACCGGCTATCAATCTCTGACATGATGCGGCTAAAACTTAACAGCTTTTTCTTATTTTTTGTATTTTTAATTTTATTTTGATATTCATTTGCATTTCTGTTTTATTCTGTGCGCCAGTTGATTGGCATTTCAATTTACAAATTAGTCAGTTGCATGCTTTGTCACTTGACGTTTTTATTGATGCAGCTTCCTGCTCAAGCGAGTGCTGCCATCTTATCTCATCCCTTTATGCTCAGAGCGCAGACCTTGTACATCATTGGCCAGACTTCACTGCGGCTCACTTCAGTTTAGCTGAGTTTAGTTCAGCTTAGCCCCGATGCTAATGACAGCAATCCATCAACTGTTTTGAGGGTTGTTTGGCATCTACAGTGGATTCTCGTATCAAGTAAGGGTTGATTCTGATTGATTTCTGTCATGGCAAGAAAAAATAAAATGAAAGAAATGTCTATTTTTGTAGCCATATTGATTTGCCATTTGAATTTTCTGACTCGCTTGAGCCCTTAAAAATTGTAATCTTTGTTTTCAGTTGACTAACATGAATATGTACAAAAAGGTTCATGGCTAGAGAATAGTTTATCTTGAAAAATTGTATAATATTTAGTAAAATCAACAGCTTTTAAGTTCATATAACGACTTGAATGGATTTTATATGTGTGTATAGGCTGAAGAGCTATAATCCGAGTACATTTATAAGCATATCTACATCTAAGCCTCTCTCTAGCATCCTCTATCAAACTTATGTCTAGTTCTCTATCTCTCCGACTGTAGGACTTATGGGATTCCTTCACTGGAATCTCTTCTTGAATCTACTTTGGGTCTAAACTAAGCACTTAATGTTGGGTTTTAATCTTACTTACATCCTTATATCCCAAAAATTCAAATGAATAGAATATGTAGAGTACATCATAGTCATAAGAAATTAATAGATATCCTCTTATACTCACAATCTCATATATAACTAATACTTAAGTATGTCTGTAATTATAGTCTAACATATTCTAGCGCTAATAAGTCGCACCAAGTGTAATGAGGCAGAGCTTGAGTTACATACACAAACACAACCACCATACAATCATGCCTTCTCTCTCTCACCAACTCAATCTCTGTCTCACTCACACTCAGAGTGTGCTGAATTTCTTTTCATTTGTCGGTGCTCAGGATTTCAACGCATTTTATGCTGAGACGCGTTTCATGTGCGGGTGCTGTGGACATATTTATGTCGCTTTTGGGAACATTTCATCCTCATAAATATTATTCATGGTCTCGTTCACTCTTTAGGGCTGCCTCAACCCCTGGATCGACCCCCGCCCGCGACCCTTTCAATACTGCTGAGCTTTCAAATTGCACAACACGGAAAGTTCGTTACTGTGCTCAGCGTTCCGGGCACATTGGGAGTGGAAATCAACGGAGACGGAGACGGAGACGACGACGACCGGGACAGCATGTGAAGACAAAATAGCAAGGAATCCATCAGATAAGTGCGAGCCAACAATGTCTACATCTGTTCTCTCTCTCTCTCTCTCTCTCTCTCTCTCTCTCTCTCTGTCACATCTTAGCAAGCTCTCTTTCTAGCTCGCTTTCAGCGCTTGGTTTTAGTTTTCTGTTTTTTTTTTTTTTTTTTTTGGTAGTAAATTGTCAATGTGACAGGCAAAAAGGAATCCCGGCCATCATTTACTCGGCCTCGCACACCTTCCACGTCCACGTCCACGCGGCCCAGCAATTCCTTGGGTTTGATTTAATGTTGCGTGTGATATATCACAGTCCAGCCAACCACAACAACAGCAGCAGCAGCAACAAGAACAACAACAACAAGCTAGACGTCTTTGCTTTCATTTTACGCTTATCGAACAGTTCCTCCTGCAGTCCTGAAGCCCTCAGGCCCGTATGGATGCCTGCCTGCCAACCACTTTGCCACATTTAATTTTTTGGGACGCTTCCATCGAGCTGCAGGGGTGGGCAAGGGCAGGGCTAGGGAGTGTACTATGGCGTCGTCGTCAGTCAGTCTGTCCGTCCGTCGGTCCTTCCGTCCGGACGACTGTCTGTCAACGCTCACACATCTTATTCACTGTTCAGTCTTGGCTCCTCCATATCTTCGTCTCATTTACTGCCCTGCCCAACTTGTCTCTCTCTCTGTCTCTCTTCCACTCTCTCTGGCTCTTTCTCTCTCCCTCTTGCTGTCTTGTCTTTTGCCATCAACTTCAATTCAATGGCCTGCCAATAAATCACTCATTTCGTCGTAGTCTCGTACTCTCCTACGCTCATCGACCGAACGACGACTACTGTCTCGGGCACAGTGGACAGTTGACTCGAGATTGAGAGCTTCGATTATAGGGCAAGTCTTGT